CCAGAAGCACCTTCTTATCAAGCACGCATTGAGGAACAAGCCTTGAGACAAATGGAAAGCAAAGTGATCAGGCTGTACGTTTTCCACATTAGTGATTTATGGCATCACTCAGGCATTGTGATGACAGAAAAGCCTGTCTTTATTCGTAAATGGAAGGACGCGGTGGCTCAGTGGCTAAGACGCTGAGCTGGTCAATCGAAAGGTCGGCAGTTCAGCGGTTCGAATCCCTACTGCCGCATAACGGGGAGAGCTCCCGTTACTTGTCCCAGTTTCTGCCAACCTAGCAGTTCGAAAGCACGTAAAAAATGCAAATAGAAAAATAGGGACCACCTTTGGTGGGAAGTGTTCCCTGCGCCTTTGGCGTTTAGTCATGGTGGCCACATGACCACAGAGACGTCTTCGGACAGCGCTGGCTCTTCGGCTTTGAAACGGAGATGAGCGCCTCCCCCTAGAGTCAGGAACGACTAGCACATATGTGCGAGGGGAACCTTTACCTATTCGTAAATGACACATATGCACAGCGATGGCCGTGTCCTGCTGTTAGCCATCAATATGGAAATAGTTTGAAACTCCAGCTGTGGTCCTTTTTACAACTCTAGCTTAAGCTGAATCCACTCCAAACATATTGCCTTCCGGTATGTATAGGTATCCTTCCCATTGTTTCAGACACTGTGGCTTGGGATGATGGGAGTTGTAATCCAAAATACAAGTTAGAGAGAGTTACAAGTTAATGATGAATTAGGTTCTAAAACTTGAGTTCCATTGGTCTACTTTAAGCTGACATAAGGTTGGGTTTTGTTGGTCAGCCAATTACCAAGTAACTTGGCACATCCAGTTAATTCATAATTTTATTTACTTATTTGGGCATAGCATGTTATAGAACCTGCGTTTAGATAAACCAATGTTAGAAGACAGCGCACTGCGAGAACCCAGACTAAGTTACCATTCCACCTCTGTCATCTTTACTTAAAAGGTCAGGATATCTATTATTCACAGTCACTGATGAGCTCAGGATCCTGGAGAGGGAATAGTCCCATCTCTACCACCCTGTATTAATTACCGGTTGTGGCTCTTTTCTCCTGTTTACATACAGCGCTCTCCATACAACTTCCAGGTTTGCTTTTTCAAAATAATACCTGGGCATCCGCTTTTCTTACTGGCAATGAATACAGGAGAAGAGGGAGACATCTACATTATATGTTCGCTGTGCTGGTTAATGGCCGCAATAAAGTTATCTATTATCTGTTCCTTGAACCAGTCAATATTGGGTAGAGAACACAGTTCTAGCCATTGCGCTGGGGAAAAAAAATATGTGCAAAAGTTTCCATACTTTTCTGTGGAATAGGTTTCTATTGCGTTGCTCCTGATGCAGGCTTAGGTAGGAAGAGAGGTAGGGTTAAGCTGCTTGCCTGTTCTAGAGGAAATTCAACGCAGGCTTTAAGATGCCTAAGGAATCAACGCCATTGATTTCAATGAAGGCGACGAAAGCCTACTCAATTCTCGGATTTGGCCTTAGGAAAAAAAATGGCTCTAATTTCTAGCTCAGTTCGAAAGGCAGAAATCGGTTTCGTGCGAGTGGAGTTTAGCTTTACCCCAGTTCAGGCATGGGATGATCCCTCAGCCATCCCAAAGTATGGCAATAATTATTATTTTTTCTTTCCATTACTGCTTGCACGACCCACCATGCCCCGCCAGCAGAGGCTCAATCGCCCCTAAAGGCACTAATTCGGTTTATAGAAAAAGCCGAAACCTTCTCGGAAGAAGTCAGATCAAAGGGTTTTCTACGAATCACACTGTACATTCCAGATAAATATCTTAAGTTTCCTCGAGACTTCTCAAAGAAACAGAGAGATCGGATAAAGGATGAATGGGCTCCCGACTTACAGGTTTAGCTTTACATAGGGATGCAAAACGGAGAAGGGGCTCCACTGGTAAGGAGAACACCCTAGAGGACTCAACTTTCCCTTTTTTTTTCCCTGCATAAATTTGAGATAAAAATCCCAGCCATGAACTTCCAGAGATCTTCCCGTGTTTTACTTCCAACTACTCCGCCGGGGAGACAGAAACCCGCCCCAGGTGTAGACTTCAGAGCAGGTTTCGCTTGCGCCAAAACTGGACGCCGGCTTCTCTGGGAATATCTTGCTTCCGTGAATTTTTGACAAACTTCTAGTCGGGGACACAAAGCAGACACGTGGCGCCGTGTGTGGTCGGCCTCGCCGTCGCCACTGGGCCAGTGCTACAAACTCAGAACGGCTGCATCCCTAAAAGACCAGGACTGAAATTCTGAGCTAACAGCTGTGTGGGGTTTCTCTCTTTCTCTCTCTCTCCTCCCGCCTCCCTGTTGGAACAGTTTGAAATCTCACAGCAGCACACACGAAGATGCACAGTACAAAAGAATATAGCAAAATAGCCTTATGCAAAATGTAGATTTTTTTTTAAAAAAAACTAGTCACCATATTCCTGTTTTTTTTTTAAAAAAACGTAACCTCCGTGATTGCACACGATCCTGAAAATTATTCCCAACATGAAGCAGGCGAGAGAGCCCCGTTCTCAGAACGTTTTAGCGTTCTAAATGTAAATCGATCGATCGCTTTTTTCCCCCCCTCGGATCTTGAAAGCGCTTTGTTGGGAAATCTGTATGAAATGTCAGTAGGTCAGCAAGGCCATCGATCGGTAGGAAGGCTGGGAAGAAGCCAGAACGAAGGCGTCTTCCCCACCCATCCACCCTCCATTGCAAGGCAAAACCCGATAAAAACGATTTATACGCCGCGTTTTGTTCGACTTCCAAGGGCGGCGGGTGGGAGTGGAGCGGACAGAGGGGGCGTTTGGAGCCTTCTGCGGCAGCTGCTGTTTGTCCGAGACTAAAAAGACGGGCCTGCCTCGGGGGCGAAGTACTTCAGCTCAAGCTGAAAGAGCCTCCGGGGACAGTTTTCTCCTCTGGACTGAAGAGCCCGCTTCTCGCTCCCGTAGAAGCTAAGAGCGAAATGAATGAGAAGGGCTCAGCTGAAGGCCTCGGTCGCTTCTCTCAATCTGTTGATGGACGTTGTGTGTGTGTGGTGTTTTTGTTTTGTTTTGTTTTTTTGTAGCAACGCTAGAAATCAACTCAGCTCTAGGCAGCGGGATTTGCACCTGGGCCATCTAGAGGTCTCTAGACCAGTGTTTCTCAACCTTGGTAGCTTGAAGATGGGTGGACTTCAACTCCCAGAATCCCCCAGCCAGCAGCGCTGGCTGGGGGTTTCTGGGAGTTGAAATCCACCCATCTTCAAGCTTCCAAGGTTGAGAAACACTGCTCTAGACCTTTCCAGCCCAAATAAGGATGTATCTTCCAATTGCTTTCAAGGGAATTTATTTCCAGTACGCAGCTCTGATCCTAAAGCAATGTGCAAATAAGGATTTCGGGGGAATTTAAAAGTAATTCGCTTCACAAATTGGTGGAAGGGATGGGGATTGTTGGTTTCTTGGTGTTTTTTTTTTTTTTTGGCACTCTCTTTGACTATGATATTTTCAACACATATTGCTAGTCCACGTATAATATGCATACGCTAAATAAAGAAATGTCAACACCTATTTGCAGGGTGCTCAAGGGGAGAAGCCAACGCTGGCTCGCTCGCTCGCATACAGATACCCCGCTTCTTATGCTTCTTGGTAACCTTTCCTGCGCGGGAACCTGCGGATTGGACCTTGTATCGGTTTCTGGGAATTAGAAAGAAAACTCTTCTGGAGAAAACAGCAAATCCTGCGGGTTTGAGTGTAACCTATTGACTCATACTCTCAATATTGGTTCTGAGTACTAAAAGGCTTCAAGTAGGAGGGGTATATATCTGAGTTCAAATCCTGCATCAGGAACTTCAAGGGTAACTTTGAGCCGGTCTTTCTCTTTCAATCCCTTCGTCACTTGAGAGCTTCATCACTTGAGACTTTCAAGAAAAGATTGGACTGTCATTTGTCAGAAATGGCATAGGATCTCCTGCTTGAGGGGGGGTGGTTGGACTAGATGACCTATAAGGGCCCTTCCAACTCTGTTAATCTGTTAAATCTGTCCCTTCATTATCCCAGAGAAGAAAATGGAAACCGCATTTTCGAGCTCTTAAATGGGAATAAATATACATTCTTTCTAGTGCCAGGCTTCCATCTCCCCGTAGATGTCACCTGGTTCCGGGTGAAAACCCTCATGTTTTTGAAAGAAATAATTCGCTTTACGTTTACATGCAACAGGGCTGTCGAAGTCCTGCAGAGACGAGTTTTATAAATCCATTCGCTTAACTGGCTCAGCAATCACGCGGTTTTATGGATTTAAAAGTGCAACACACGAGAGCTCTAGAGAAAGAACAAGAATTGGAGCCGTTTGTGAATTGCGGCCACGGTCTGGAAGGAACTGAGAGAAAGGTGAAAGTTAACGAGGATTGCGGAAAGCTTAGAAGGATGGTTGCAGAAATGCAGCCGGATCGATCGACGTTCATCAGGAGGGAGTTGCGAGAGAACTTTGGAAAGACGGCAGAAGCGCTTGCGGGAGATTTCCCCAAACACCCCAAATTGTTTCGAATTTCAGGAGATTCCCAAAACACATCGAGGAGGGGGGGGGCTTCTATTGGTTTTGGTTCATCCAAAGCGCACCAAAGAGCCGTCCGTTATTTTGAGGGGCTCAGATTGGACTCCTGGCCATTAGTGTCCCGTCTCGCGAAAGAGGGAAGATGGCGTGTGAGGGACGGGTTTGCCCCCCTCAAAAAAATAATAAAATAAAATAAAATAAAATCCGAAGCGCTGGACCGGCTTATCAAGCAAGCCCGACGCAACCAACAGGCCGAGAGGGTGGGGGGGGGGAGTGGAGCGCGAGGGCGCGCGGTGGGGCTGCAAGGCGCTTGGCAGGCGAGGAGCGCGAGCGTCGGGTCTGTTTGCGCGCGCCAACAACACGTGACCCGCTGTCCGCGCTATAAAAGCTCCTGGCGCTCGCCTCGGCGGCTCAGTGCCTGCGCGACGTTCCGGCCGGCGGGAGCTTTCGCGCGAAGGCGGTGGCTTTCCCCACCCTTTCTGTCCCGTCCCCCCCACCCCCCAATCCTATCGCTCCTTCCCTGTCCCTGTTTCCCGCCCGGGGCCACCCGCAACCCCTGGCCCAGCCCCCTCCCCTCCCGCCACTCCTCCTCCCGCCCCCCGCCACGGTCGCCCTGCCCTCCCGAAGGGAGAGAAACGCCGAGGAGCGCCTGTTGCTCTCGCTCCGGCCGCGGGGAGCGAGGGCGCCGCCTCCTCCTCTTCTTCTTCAGACTCCTCCCTCGCTCCGCCGCTAGGGGGTGGCCTAGCCGAGCAGCCCGACCCGGAGGCAGAAGCAGTCGGCCGGAGCAGCGGCGGCGGCGGCGGCACCGCCACCATGACCCTGGGCTGCAGCAGCGGGAGCAGCCGACCCTGCGGCTTGCTGGCGGCCCCCTCGCCGGAGGAGGAGGAAGAGGACGAGGCGCCGTCCGACGTGGAGGATGCCGACATCGACGTGGTGGGGCCCCCTCACGAGCAGGCGAAGTTTAGCGAGGAAGAGGAGGAGGAGGAGGAGGAGGAGGAGGAAGAGGAAGACGATTTGCGCCTCCTCCCCAAACAGGCGGTGCGGGTCAGGCTGTCCCCAGTCCAGCGAGGCCCGGAGGCCACGCTGGGCGACAATCACGTCGTTGCAGCGGCTCCGGCAGGGTCGGCTCCGGCGGGGTCAGCGGCTGGCCCGGCGTCCGCCTCGTCCTCGTCCTCGTCAGGCGGCGGCGCTTCAGGAGCCGGCAAAAACCCCTTGGTGAAGCCGCCCTACTCCTACATCGCCCTCATCACCATGGCCATCTTGCAGAGCCCCAAGAAGCGGCTGACGCTAAGCGAGATCTGCGAGTTCATCAGCGGCCGCTTCCCTTACTACCGCGAGAAGTTCCCGGCCTGGCAAAACTCCATCCGCCACAACCTGTCGCTCAACGACTGTTTCGTCAAGATCCCCCGCGAGCCGGGCAACCCGGGCAAAGGCAACTACTGGACTCTGGACCCGGAGTCCGCCGATATGTTCGACAACGGCTCCTTCCTGCGCCGGAGGAAGCGCTTCAAGAGGCAGCAGCAGCAGCTCCACCCGCAGCCGCCGGAGCTCCTCTTGCGCGCCGCCGCTGCGGACCCGGCGGCTTTCCTGCCGGGTTTCGCCTACGGACCTTATGGCTACAACTACGGGCTGCAGCTGCAGAGTTTCCACCATCACCACCATCACCACCACCACCCGGCTGCCGCAGGCGGAGGGACGGCGGGGACGTTTTCTTTCCAGACTTCATCCTGCACCCTTCCTGCGCCGCCCGGCCCTGGGGCCACGGCGACCGCCCCGGCGTCCGTCTTCTCCAGTGGGCTCTCCTCTTTCCTGGGCGGCGATCTAAGTTGCAGGAAAGCTTTCTACCCGGCGGGGCAGCTTAGCCCTACCGCCTCCCTCCTGCAGAGTCTCAAGACGGACCAGGGAGCGGGCAACCGGCCTTCCTTTTCCATAGACAATATCATTGGAAGCGGTGGCGGCGCGGCCCCTCCGCCTTCCAGTAGCTCCGCGGTCAGCGCAACAGATTCGCCCTTCCCGGCGGGCCATGCTGGGAGCCAAGCGCAGGTCCTGGCTATGTTGTCTCCAGCTCTGACTCCCTTACCGAACCATTTGAGCCTCACCCACGAATCACTCCTGCAATCGGGACAAAACTTTTCCAGTAAACTCACAAACCTCAACAATTGTCCTTTTTAAAGGCAGCCACAATGGCCCTTTCCCCATCAACATTCCCCCCTCCTATCTATCTCCCTCTATTGTCCTCCCATTGTGTTTTGAAAGGTAGGAACTTTTTTTGGGGGGGGGGCATCTTTCATCTGGATCGTTTTGTGTGTGTGTGTGTGTGTGTGTGTACGCGCATGTGCGCGTGCGTGTGTCTATTTCCTCCGGGCTTGTGATTTAGCAAATGGCGGGGTATGTGAGTAGGGGGGGGGGAAGAAATTTGTTGAGCCAAAAGACCTATTTAAAATTAAGTCTTTCTTATGAAATGATTTCTGGCAGCTTGGGAGAAAAGCAAAAGCAAAAGTGAAATCATTTAATTAGGGCTGCAGTCCTAAGCTGTCCAGGTGGTGCTATTTTAGTTGGGTTTATTGGAATGGCCTTCCAAGTATGGATCCATTAGCAGCTCGGTTATTCTGGCGCAACTGCCTTTATACTCTGTAAAGTTACTCCATTCAATTTAAGTCTGTCAGAGTGGAGTTCTTTGTGCAGTAAAACTATCTTCCCAGGTTTGAAGGCGGGCTTGTTCCAAGGTTATAACTTTAAACTGATAGTGGTGGGTGTTAATTCATGCTTTTGGGGGGCAAATCCCACTGCATTCTTGTACTTGCTCCCAGGTGTGCCTTGAATAACAACCTTGAGGTGTGTGTATGGGGGGTGGGTGGGTGGGTTGATGCACTTGTGAGACTTTGCATTTTTAAACCGGTTCCCTGAATGGTCCTGATGTCTGTATTTCCTCTTGGGTATCCTTAATAGTTCAATATTTCCTAGAAATGTATAAACCAATTTAAACATTTAAGTGAGATTTGAAATACATATCTCTAAAGATCAGGCCATATCAGCAAATCCTCTGTTATCGAAACTCCCGCCTCCTCTCCACCCCTTCAGTGTGTGTGTGTGCCTGTGTGTATGTGTGTTCAGTGTATTGGGACTCATTGGCGTGTATACATTGTGCACCAGAGCTATTTTGCTCTCTTCCCACTAGTTGTGTTTCCCTCCTATTTTATTGAAAGAATTGTGAATGATTAGATGTGGAAAAGGCAACACATTTTTTTTTTGTCCACCTCTGGTGTAAATTAATAAATGTCTGTGAATTCTCTTAAAAAGAACCCAGTGGGTCTTGCTATTTGCTCTTGTAATTTTTTTTTTAAAAAAGATGTTGTGTTAGTAGTATTGGATTTTTGAAAGTGAAAAAGACCTGCAGAGTGGGATGAATTTATTTAGATATTGTTAAAAGCTAAGGGAAAAGCAGTGCCTTCAATTTTGCAGTAGCAAGGGCAAACCACTCTCAAAACCTAAATTCAGAGACTCCACTGCTGGGACCCCCCAATAGGCTTCCTTCTGAGCAGAAGTACATATTGGATTGTACTCTTTGTATGTCAACCTATCCTAATCTCGGTCTTAAAATATATACCTTGAATTGACAACGATTAAAGTCAGGGTTCAGCTGCTGTTTTGAGCAGAAATGTAATCTATAAAATAAATGTTTCCCATTAAGTAGACCAATATTAAAATGAGCCAGGTAAATATTTGTAGCTTACTAATGAAATGTGGGTTTGCCATAACTTTTCCTTCCTTGCCTGTTAATGAACTCTAACATTAGTTTACTGCTACCGTCCCTTCTATTTCTTTTAAAGTAGTACTTTGGGGTTGTAAACCGAAAATATTATTTTTATTATAATGAGTTATGCATTATTTTTACTTGTGGCATCACATGTGGCAATTAAGTTCTTGTTTCCCAAAATTACTTGAAATTCCCAGGGAGTTAATAGAGGAAAATTATATTCCCCATTCCCCTTTTTGTTATAGTTGGAAATGTTGACATATGACAGGAGGAGTGGTGGTGGTGGAGGAATAATTTAAGTTTGTTCTTTCTGAGCCAAAACGATTGAAGTGAACATTTGAAATCCGAGATCTCTGCCTAAATTTGTGAGTGAAAAAAGGTACAAAATAAACAAACTCTCTTTCTTAGCCAACCCATGCCCTGAAAATCTCTTTATATTTTGGCCAAATCTGAAAATGCGGGGCTTTGTTTGAACAAAATGCTCCCCTAATCTCTCAGGCAGCAATGTCTTGTCAGGTTTTTAAAAATCATTATTATTGAATGACCCTGAATAAGTGAATAAACCAACCCACTCACCCCTCCCTCTAATTTAAAATATTCATTTACTGGCTTTTTTGTGGCTCTAATAGATTCTCCCCTGGAGAAGGGCCTGTGAAGGCAGAGGTAAATGAGGGGGAGTTGGTGGGTGGGTCGCTTTCTATCTGGGGAGGGAGGAAATTACAGAAGAGAGACGGTTGTTGTAGCATTTTCCATCTGTCTCTCAATGCAGGAACGACCCCCTCCTCGCCAGCCTTCCCGAGTTTGTTGATGTTGCTCCTTGAAAAGAGTCTAGCCCTCCCTGCTGGCCCAGCGAGGGGTCTTGCGTCCCCCCCAGCCCACATTTGCTTTTGAAAAGGGATCCCCTGTCAGACACTTGGTCCTTGCCTTTCATGTCCAGTCCCCACAAAGAGGCTACAAGGCAAGACACGGAAAGGTGGGGAGGGGGAGAAAAGAGAGGCGGCGCGGCAAAATGAATCTATTTTCCAGATTGCTGAGCACATGGTTACAAATGGAAAGAGCTTTGGGACTTTTTTCTGTTGATCTGGGGAGGGGGCGCTTCTTTCACACTTTCTCTCTGCTTCCCCCCCCCCCATCTATCTAAATTGTTAAACTATACTATGCCAAACACTGCCCCCGGAGAGTTCTGGGCACCCATTTCCAGCTCCAGCGTTAGTTGGCCGTCTGGAAAATAGGAGACGCCAAAAGCTCTGAAGTTTTTAATTTCTTTCCTTTTTGTGTGCTAGCGACTACTAGGCTGTGCAAAGAGGGAGTGAGAATAAGAAAGCCGCCAGCACAGTACCCCATTTGGGAGAGTAGTAGGCAAGAGTAAATGCGGACTGGTATGGAAGTGCAGTTAGGATTCATCAACCGTGTAAAATCAATCCCAAGCCCAATACTTTTTAACGTAGATTTATTTTCTTGAGGAAAACAAGAAAAGCGGTGAGGTCCGCTGAAGTGCTCGGCTTTCACCTCTTCGATTAACGCGATGTTAACGGCCTAAACTTTCAAACTAACCGCGTTGAATAGTAGGCCACAAGCGGTGGTAATCTTTCTTGGAAACAAATTCCGCAGAAACCTACAGAAAGGTGTGGGGGGGGGGGGCGGTCAGCGCAATCCTAGCCATATTTACGCGATCTCCCTGATTCACCCCAGACGAGGCCTGCGACTGCAGCTTCCTCAGAGGTGGCGTGATTCGTTTCCATTTGTATCGGGTACTCATTTCCAAGCTACGGCTGGAACCTGCTGCGGTTCCACGCAAAATGAGAATTCCTTCTCCGATCTTTTTTTGTCCGAATTTCGGAAGTGTTCCCAAAGAGTTAAGAGTGGATATATACCCTACAGGGTGCGCGCCCGCATTTTGGATGTGGTGTTGGGAGAGCTAGAGAAACTCAAACTCGCCGTCCCCTTTCAAAAAAAAATACGAGAAGGCGCGGAATCCCAGGGCTAAAGGTTAAGGCGTCTCTAAAGCTGCTTATTTCAGAGCGCGGAGCTTCATACGCAGCGCGGTTGTAAAGTAGATGGGCTGGAAAGCGGACTGCAGCCCTGAAATCCTGGCGTGCATCTCTGGCAAACTAACACACCATGAACGCCTCTGGCTTCTCGTTGCCTTCTCCCTTCTGCTTGAAAGGAACGCGTTGAATTGCGTTCTAGAAAAGGCTGAGACCACACAGTTTTGATCTAGAGGTAGAATGGTGTTGATTCCCTCCCCGCTTCCCCATTCCTGAATCCTCGATTCGACCTGGCATTTTCTGCGAAGCTATTTTTTTTTTTAAAAAAACAACAACAACCCATCCCTTAAATAGGGAAGGCAAGGTGTGCGGGGGGAGGCAGAGAGATGAGTTTTAGTCCTCCCAAGCAACTTAATAAGGCTGTTGGATTCATCGCTTTCAGGTGGAATCGGATAGCAATCCAAATGTAGTCCGAAGGATCTGTAACCTTTTTCCCTGCTGGAGTTGAGTTTTTAACCGCATCTCAACGCCTCCTTTTTAATGTGGGAGCTGCTGAGTCCGCCCCCCCCCCCCCCCCCACCCCTCAGGATCTTATTTCTCCCTCCAGCTGAGCCTGGTCTCCCAAAACTTCAGTTAGTGGCGTGCTTATAATGTTTTCTCTCTCTCTCTCTCTCTCTCTCTCTCTCCCTCTCCCTCCCTCCCCCCTCTCTCTCCCCCTCCCTCCCTCCCCCCCTCTCTCTTTTAAAGTGAGAAAGAAGGACATCTGGAATTTGTCATTGTGGAGGCCATCGTTAGCAGCCCGTTTTCCCTGGGGCAGAATGAGGAAATCATTTTGTGAAGGACTGACGCGTGTCTTGACTCTTGCGTGATGAGCTTTTTTCCTCCCTCTTTATTTTTCCCTCGGTGGTTCAATTCAAGTATCGCACCGGTCTCTGCAGACAGGGGGTGGTCCCGTTGAACTGAACAGAATACCTTCCCAAGTGAGGGGACTTGCCCAGGGACAGAAAGAGCTTTGCATCTCTCCTGTGCAAACAGTAATAGCTTGGCATTTACAAGGGTAATAAGGAAGAGGGGAAGGAAGCTATGTGCCCCCCCCCGTCCAAACTGGTTTTGAACTCTTTCCTAGTCCTTCGTCTGAACATAAACCAGGACAGAATGCTTGGGGGGGAGGGGCTGGTTTTCCTAGGAACCTTCATATAATGGCATCTGCCCGAAAAATTGTTGTTGGGCTTTTTTGTGAAGCTCGGGTTCACTTTGGAGGCTTGAGGTGAGAATTATAGAAAATGGAGCTCCCTTTTGTACTTCTTACCAAGAGGCGTTGTGCCCTTTGTTTTGCTTAGGGAGATGGTTGGAAAGCTTTCTGAACAAGAAAGTTCGCTTCGTTTGAGAACCTGCTCCGTTACCTGGTCCACCTCCCTCTTCCAGAATGGTAACAGAGAAGTGTTTTCCCAACCCCGTGGAGTGATTGATCTGTAGCCTCTAAAGCAAAGCAAAGCAAAACAAAAATAAGTCCGATTTTCACCTGCTTGGCCTCAGAGGACCCAAGATCCTTTGGGATCGATCGCTTCGGTTCGTAGCAAGTCTTGAACCAAAGTCAGGTTGCGGACTTTGCAGAGTAGTTTTTGTCGGAAGTTAGATCGGCCCCAGCTGGGTTTGCATGACAAAGATGAACTATAAATTGACCAACCACGTTTTCCAAATAGTAGGGTACAAACTAACTCTGCAGGTTCAATGTGTGGTGCAAGCCC